CAGGGACACCTGAGGAGACAGGCATGGGACAAGTGTACCCATGAAAGCCCTGCCGTGCAGAAGGCACTGGCAGGGACCCCTGGCAAAGGTCCAGCGTGAGGAGGAGATGCTGCCAGCACCAGGTGAGCTCTCAGCCTGTCTGGCATCCACCTCCCAGCAGCAGCTCCAGCCACCTTTCAATTAGCACAACTCTGTGATTGCTGCCCACATCCAGGGCTGGGCACAGCCAAGCCCCTCGGCTGCCCTGGGTTATGAAGGATTCATGGCATTAAATAAAACAGTGGAGCGGGTTGGAATTCTCAAAGCATCTTTGAGAGTTGAGGCACGCAGCTCTTTTTGAGAAGGCAGTGATCGAAATCCCAATTCATCCCGTGGCTGGTCTAAAGAAAGCAGCTCGAGGACAAAGACACTCCCGGGCAGCCCTGTGTCCAAAAACACCCGGCTGGACCCCTCCAGCATTCCCTGGTCCTTCCCGAGCTCCCAGGAGTGAATGTGCAGGAGCTGCTAATTACAGATAATAACTGCCATTAATGAGGAGGCATCCACCGGCCAGGCTTCTTGGGTGTGGAGCTCCCGTGTCCCAAAGCTGGGTGAGGCCCAGGCTTGTCCAAGGAGGGGGACTGGCAGCCCCTGTGCGGCTGTACCAGCCCCTGGACACCCCTCCTGGCAGCACAAGTCATTTTGGCTTCAGGCACGTGAAGCCACAGGGCACCAGCTCCCAAATCCTGCCGGGAATTGGGATGAGGTTTGTCCCTGTGCAGCCTCGATGATGATTTGAAAGAGCACCACCTTCCTCCTGGGTTACCCAGCCCGCTGGGTGCCAGTCCCGGGAGATAACTGGGGGAAAAGTGTGCCAATTATTGATATTTTAATTACAGCCAGATGATAACCAACTGAAAAGCTGCAGTTTTTAATCAAAGCTGTGACAGCACCCAGCCCCGGGAGGGTTGGTGGACACGGGGGGCTGCAGCACTGGGACCTTCCACGGAGGGAATGATGCTCAGGGGGAGCCTGGGGGGGATTTTAAAGCTCAGCTTTGGCACAGGATGCCCAGAGAAAGACCAGGGCATTAAAACCCACACCCTCAACAGGCAGACCCAGCCATGCCTGGGTTTGAGCTGTGACACCATCACTGGGTATTTACCCTTTACATCAGAGGGTTCAGTTCCTTGAGCGCTGATCCCACCCGAAATCCAGGGCACTCAACCTTTTGGGAAAACCCACCCCCCCTCAGCTGCCGGGGGGCCGGGGGAGGTTTACACAGACAATTCACCACCGGGACAAAAAGAGCCAAATCCGGGGCTGGCCGGGAATTCTTTATTCAAGCTCTGCCCTGGGCGGGGAATTACGGATGCACCAGTTGTGCCACCGAGCACCTTCCCCCTCCCGTCTGCTTGGAAATGGGTTATTTAGTAACTGGTGAGGCCACCGGTGCTGAGTCAGCCCGCAGCTAATGAACACCCCGGCTGCCCATTTGAAATTTATTGCACCTATTAATTACAACCATTAGCTGCAGCCAGTGAAATTTTTATAATGAGGACCCTTGCGACTTTGCCTTCCTAGCAGCAAATTAACTGTGTGGGGGGAAGAATCAATGGGATCAGCAGACTTTACAGAAGCGATGTTTTAATTAGTGATTCTCTGCAAACATGCCAAGCAACATCTTCTCCGTTCATTATCTCTCCTTAAAGGGATGGTGCTTCTTTTCAGGTTGGTTTTAGCCCGGCCTCAGCTCCTCTGTAGTCGGGTTTCTAATGCACTGCTGCTCATTATAGAAGCTGCTTTGAAGTCGGGTTTAGCTTAGGACTGGTTGTAAGCAGCAGAGATGTCCGAGGTTTGTGGGGGGGGAAATAAAAAGCAACCCCGGGAAATAATGAGTTTGAAAGCTTGGCTGGCAAACAGCTAAATTGGAGGAGGAGGAGGAGGGTGAGGAGTGTGGGAAAGGGGTTGTGTCCACACAGGGACAGGCTCTGGGATGCAGGACCTGAACCTTGGATGCTTCGAAATGGAAGGGACTAAAGTCCCAGGCAAAGCTCTGTCCGTGCTTGGAGCATCCACATCATCCAGGCTTCTGAAGAAAGTCCTTGCAAGTCCCAGCTGTGTCTCTGGGGACTCTTCCAAGGGTGTCTGCTCAGTGGATTTTAGAAAGCCAGGCTGGTGATCCCCAAATCATCAGTCACTCCTAAAAACCTCATCTGTGGCTGTGGCTGTGGCTGGACCAGCCATCACGAAAGGCAAATGAAACAAAATTTCTGGGAACTTTGCTGCGTTTCGTTACAAATTATTTAATTCCTCCCTGCAAAAATACAGGAGCGATTTCCATTGCAAATGATCTCGTTTCCCAGGGAGGAAGCCCGAGACGCCGGCAGCGAAAAGGCAGCCTTGAAATTCAGGGTTTCAAATGCAAAACTTGTTTTGTTTGGTTTTTTTTTTTTTTTTCCCCGAAGTCGTTAAAAAGTTAATTCGACGGCGCTTCCCAGGAATAGAAAAGCTGAGGCAGGGGAAGAAAATCGGCTGGAATGGCAGATCCTGGTGCCTGAGCATCCCAGCCCAGGGTCTGGTACTCACTGATGGAGCCCGGCAGCACCTTCCTGTCCCTGCAGCCAGGCTGTGCTGAGCCCTGCCTGCACCCCTGCCTGCACCCCTGCCTGCTCCCCTGGCTCTCCCTGCCCGGCACCTTCCCTCCTGAAGCTGCTCCTGCTGCCAGCCGTGGTGCCAGGAGCTGCCCAGTGAATCCCAGGGAATCAGGAATCGCCGGGCTGAGGAACAGGCTCCGGCCAGCTGGTTCAGAGAGACATTTTTTCAGGGCTCAGGGAAAGTGCCATTATTAAAGTGAGCATGCTGATTGCAGACAGCTCCCAATTCATCACTGTGACAGTGACAAACACGGCCTGGGGTTATGCAGTTGACTAAAGAGAATTCTCCAGCTTTACATTTTTAATGCTCCTCTCTCCCATTTTCTCTCTGCTGCAGCCAGAGTTTTATCCGAGAAAGGATCTTCTCCCCTGAATAGAAAGGGCAGCAACGGGGCTGTGGAGCATGCCCGGCCCTTGCAAATCAGCCAGGGCCTCTGTCAGCGCTGCCCAAGCCAGTTCATTTATTTTTTAATTATTCCTTGCTCCTTCAGGATCCTTTTTCCACCTTTTCAAGAAGAACAGGAGCGTCGGCCTCAGCTGGGCTGCCTCCATTCTCCGGGGCTCATTCATCATTGTCCCCTGCCTGAATGGGAGGCAGAGGGTCAGCCTGAAAAGCCTCCGTGGTACAAGCTCCTCTAAATATATCAATAGGTGCCTAATGGACGTTGGGGTCCCAGCCAGACCGCCCAGGCTCTCAGGGAGCCTTTGTGTCTGCGTGGGGGGGACAGCCGGGACGGGCACGGCCAGATTTGGGGTGGCACGGGGCACCCCTGGGGGGGTCTGGGGTTTGCCTGGTTGATGTGGGCGGTGTTGAACAGCAGGGATGGTGCTGTGGGGATGGTGGGGGTGCCCTGCCCGGGCGAGGGAAGCATTTAAAAACCCCGGGTGAGGTGGTGCTGGACCAGACGCCCGTATGCCCACCCAAAACAGGCTCCCCCTCCCCATCGCCCCTTCCCCGTGCTCTGCTCCAGCTGGAGCCGTGCAAACCCGGGAGGGCTCAGGGGTGGGAGCTGAGCGCCCCCCCCCCCCCCAAAAACCCCCCCTACCAGCCGTTCCCTCCAAAATCCCATTCTCAGGCTGGCAACAAAAAAAGCAGCAGCACAAAGGCAGAGCCGGGACCTGCCGCTATGCCGGGAAGCCATTCAGAACGGGAGGCTCATTAAAGAGCCCGTGGTCATTATTTGTGAGCTCCAGAGGTAGAGCCTGATTTAATTTGGGAGCTCCCAGACAGGTACCCAGATGGCTGGGGACGGGGGGCAGCGGCAGGAGTGAATTAAAGGGGATGTTTCTGGCTTTGTGCTGCAGCTGGGCCCCCTTGGAAAGCGGGGAAGTGGAAAGGCAGGGATGTGGCATCACCCCCTGCACCGTCACCGCTGGTGGGGGGCTCGTGGGGGGCCACGGACCCCACCTGCTTTGGCTTTTTTCCCAGTGGTTAATTCCCTCCCATTTGGCCCTGCTGGGAATTAGGGCTGCTCCAAACTCCAGTGGGGGAGCCCCCCTGCTCCCCACGGGGTTGGAGGGCCGTGGTGCTGAGGATGTGCCTTGCTGGGCACTGTAGGGCCGGGCACAGCTCCCTCTGAGCACCAGCACTGCCTGTTCTGGGCCAAAATCAGGGCTGCAAACTGTGCAAATCTTATCCAGAGAAGCTGTGGCTGCCCCATCCCTGGAAGTGTCCAAGGCTGGACAGGCCTTGGAACCACCTGGGCTAGTGGAAGGTGTCCCTGCCCATGGCAGGGGTTGGAGGGGGATGAGCTTTAAGGTCCCTCCCAACCCCAAACCAGGCTGGGATTCTGTTTTTCCTGCGAAAAGCTAAAAATTAAAGCAGGGAGCAAACGAAGGTCTCGCTTCAGACGGAATTTCTGCGAGGATTTGTTATTTATTTAAAAACCCCCAGCCTTTCATTTGCATAATTACATTTTGCAGCTGTTGGGCCATCATGTGGGCTGTGCTTTGGGGCATTATTTTATCTGCTGGAAACGGACACAAAGAGAGGGAACTGGGAGAGCTCAGCTGAGGCTCTTTGTGCCAGAACCTTTGGTGCTGCCCCCGTGCCGGGGCTGTCCCAGGGCTCCTCACCTCCCAGGCCCTCCATATGCACCAGGAGCTGCAAGCTGTCCCCACGTCTGTCCTGATTGTTCCCTGGGAGAGGGGCTGGGGGGGGGGAGTTTTAATCTCCTTGCCTTTGGCTGGCTGGGGAATTTGGGAGAGCGTGGCTGGGGGCTCCGGGGAGGGAGGAGGGGGGAGATGTGCCCTGGTACAGGGAAATTTTCCGGGTTTGTGGTTCTGGGGGGTCTGTTTTACACCCTCCATCCTGCCTGTGCATCCCCAGGAGCTGCCCTGACTCCTCTCCCTGTCCCCATCCAGGTGTCCCGGGGGTGCTCCTGAGCCTCTCCTGCTCCAGGTGATGCCCCAGTTCACCTTCGCTTGCTTCTGCGGGCTCCATGGCTTCTGCAAGATGAAGAGGAAGAAAGAAGAGGCCAGTGCACAGCAGGAGACGGCCGTGTGAGGAGCAGACAGACCCTGCCGAGCTGTGCCTCGGGACCCCGCCCGGCCCCTCGGTACGGCAGCACCGCCGGGGGGCTTTGGGTGCCTCCTCCTCCTCCTCACCTCTGCAAGGACCTGCCCAGCGGCACCACCTCTGCCCGCCCTGTCTCGGGGGGTCTCGGGGGGCTCAGGGGCCGAGCTGAGGTGTCTGGGAGGGGAAGAGGAGCCGGGGCTGAGCAGCTGCTCACGGACAGCAGCGGGGGTTGGGGCAGCACAGGGGGGGAGCTGCTTAATCTCCTCTAACACGTTTCTCCTGCACGTTCTCTCATTTTCTCTTCCCAGACGCCGGTTGTGGCCAGGGGAGAGCCAAGGCACGGGAATGACCTTGCCGGGAGGCAGAAGCAGAGGCTGGGGGTGTCACCCAGGAGCTGCAGCAATCCCAGCGGGTGCTGAGCCCCCAGCACCCCAGCACTCGGGGTCAGAGGGACCCTGCATCCCAGGGGGATAGAGATTTCCCTCCTGGACGAGCCAACCTGCCCTTGCTCTGGCAAATCTCACCAGACAGACCTGGAAAGGGTTTCAAAAGCCGGGGCCAGACCTTGGAGTCCCGGTCCTGGGCAGGGTCGGCCCCTGGCTGGTAAGTTGTCCTGCTGCTGCAGGACTGGCTGAAGGCAGAAAAGGAGCCGGTTTGGGGCTTGTTTCTCCTTTTAAAGCCTCAAGCAATTGTCTGTGAGTCCAGGAAGCCATTCTCCGTGCCTCTGCCCTCCTGCTCCCGTGGCTGCAGCACCCTGGGGTGCTCTGGAGGCACCAGACACACGGACCCTGCTCGGACCAGTGCAGCCCAGGAGCTCCCACCCCACGGGCAGGGGGTACACCTCGGGGGGTGAGCCCACCCCCTGCACCCCTGGGCCATGAGGCTCAGCAGGAGGTTGTTCTCTTCTGGTGAACAGGACCAAATTCCTGAGCTTGGGGCACCTGAGATCCATTCCAGGGACATGTTCTCCAGGGCAGAAATCCTTAAATTCTTCCATACTGCGCTTCCCTCCTCCCTGTGGAGACCCTCTGAGCCTGGGGCCAAAAGCAGTGCCCAGGACTGCTGGGCAGGAGCTGCTCTTCCCCAGGGTTAGTCCTGCTCCTGCCACCACCTTTCCTGTGGTGGCCGTGCCCAGGGACCCCCTTTCCCCCCTACCCTGTCCCTCTGTCCTTCCCACCCTCTGCTAAAGCCATACAGGAGCCCCCTGCATGCTGTGCCTTCCCGAGGGCTCTCAGGCAAACATTCCCACTGGGATACCCTCCAGACAGCCCCAGGATCTGCACATGGGAAAGCTGGTGAGTGTTGGTGAGCCAGGGACTCCCAGGGTTTGGGTCTGGGTGACAGGTCCCCCATCCCTGAACACACCCAGGGTTTGGGTCTCAGTGCCCAGTTCCCTGTCCCTGAACACACCCAGCATTCCCATCCAGGCACCAGCAGCTCCCATTTGCTGGAGAGCAGCAGGGACAGCCCCTGGAAAGGGAAAATGCTTGGGGGCAGCTGGTCAGCACAGGGGAGTGTTGACTTTTAGACCCCTGAGGAGACCCCACCATGGGGGATGAGCACACTTGGAGCACAAATCCTCCTCTGTGATTAAGAGGCTTGACCTTTCCAGGGTTTTCCCAGTGCTCCCAGACCCACACTCGGCCAACAGAGCTGTCTGTGCCACTGACAGCTCCCTTGGGAGCAGATTTGTTGGCTCAGCCAACATCCAGGACCAACACGGCTGTTATTTTATTTTCTTATCCAAAGGATTTAGCACGAAACCCTGAGCTTGGCCAGAAGCACCAATAACAACCCAAGGTGCAGCTGAGGAGCTTTAAATCCTCCCTGCTGGGTGCCTGTTTCCTGGGAAAGCAGCTGGCTGGGGTGGGATGTGCTGGGAGGTGGGACACGGGCAGGGGGCCACGGGCTGTGCGTGGTCTGTGTGTGTCACACCCGGGCTGGGGCAGCTCAGGACACTTTGCTCTTTCCCCTCTTTAATCCCGAGCTCTGTGAGCTGTGGGATCCAGGGCTGCAGCCCCCCAGCAGCGTTCCCAGGTGGGTATTTCCCAGCTGGACTCCAGGTTTTGGCACGGAAGAGGGCACACAGTGACACGTGAGGTGACACGTGAGGGAGCAGCCAGTCCAGCTGCCCTGTCACTGGTCACCACCGAGCCCAGCAGGTTCCAGCCTGGTTAATGCTGATGCTCCCACGTTTTGGCTTGGTTGGGGGACGCAGGGGAGGTCCCTGCTAATGATCTGAGCAGGCATCACCCTGTGAGAGCAGCAGGGCAGGCTCCAGGGAGAGCACCCAGAGCAGAGGTTTGGAGGAAAATCATGGAAAAGCATCCATCTGTGCTCAGATGGAACTAAATCATTGCTGAGGGGTGAGGAAGAGTGGCCCAGTTCATTTTTGTGCGAGCTGTGCTGCTGAACCTCTTGGATCACAGAGCCAGGGTGGTGCTGAGGATGTGCAGCTATGGAGGTTCTGTGTCTCTGGAGCAGCACTGGGGAGGAGGCTGGAGCTGGGGAGGGGCTTCCAGTTCTCCCAGTTGCAGTGGGAGTCCCCCAGGCTGGGCTGGGATGAGCTGTCTCGAATATTCCTGTCTCCAGAGAGGGGTTCCCAAGCCCGGGGTTTAATGAACGTAGCACGTAAAACTGAGACAGGCAGACACTCGCCCACACCCATTATATGTGCATTGAAAAACACGAGGAAAAATGACCCAGGAGCCGTGTGAGCGTTAAAGCACTCGAGCTTCAGCAGTTATTTTTGAAGAGAATTTCCCACCTCCCTGGGTGGATGCAGCTCTCTCGAAGCAACAATATGTTTTCCACCGTGTCTCCGAGCGAGATGGTTTGCTCCTGGATTGACCTCTATTGTGTTCATAAACGGCTCGTGGTGCTTTTTTGACTCCCCCCCCCCCCGTCAGAATGACTTGACCTCCAGATTTACGGCTGAAGGTCTCGTCGTCCACGCGTTGTTTTCCCACCAGACTGCAGCCTGATTTTTTTTTGCTTTTCTGGAGCGAATCTGCCAAGAACTGAGCATCCCCCACCCTGCCCCGAGCCCCTCGGAGCCCCCCCATCCTCCCACTGCCAAATCTGCAGTGGGCAAAAGCAAATGGGTTTTGTTTCTCTCTTTCCCGTGGCGGCGTTTTAATAGGGCAGCGTCTGCTCGGAGCCTGCGAGGGCTGGGGCGTGACAGCTCCTGTCACAGAACACTCTCTCCCCGTCTCCTTCTCTCTTCCCCCACGTTTGCACAACCCCTGGCATTTTTATAAGCTCGGGGTTTGCTTATTTTCCAGGATTTCCTCTTGCTCTCCTGCCTCTGGCTCTTCCAACCCCACTTTTGCTTCTCCGCTCCAGAGTCCCCTGGAGCTGAGCGATGCTGGAGTAGATAAATCTTACTGACTTACTAACCATCATCCAGTAGGTTCCAAGTGCTTTTCCAAGGTTTTTCCATCCTCTGGAGGGAGGAAGGAAGGTGCAGGGACGCCCCTGGGCTGAGCAGTGAGCTCAGGCTCAGTGAGGCTGCACAAGCCCTCGTGTCCTGGCTGTTCCTGAGCATCCTTGGGGAAAGGGTGCAGCAAGGAGTGAGGTGTCCTCTCCATCACTAATCCAGCTCGGTGTACAGCTGGAATGTCTGCAAATCCCTGTTCCCTCACACCATGGGTTCCCAGGGTCTCTGGAGAGAGCCTCCACCTCCACCCCTCCTCAGGGAAAGGAGAGCCCTGCTCCCGAAAGATGCATTTGTTCCCACCAGCAATAATCCTCCTTTAATCCTATTACAGTGAGGAAGGCATCCAACTTCCCTTGGAGCAGATGATGGGGTGCACAGAGGAGGGGGGCTCCTCTCTCCCTGTGGTGCCTGCCCTGGGTCCCCACTGGGGTTTGGGGGTGGGTGTCCCACGGCTCGTCCCCTTCCCGTGCACCCCGAGCTTTTCCTGCAGTGCCAAAGAGCTGGAGTGAAGCAACGACACCCCTGGGATGGAGCAGAACATCCCCTGGAACGAGGAGCTGCCTGGAACGAGGGGTCAGCTGTGGAGCTGGTGCTGGAGTGTCGGGAAAAAACAGTTTTAATGACCCAAGTGAGCAGAGCAGGGCCTCGGGCTCGCTCCAAGACAGGCAGTGTGGCCCCCTGGAAATATTGGCTTCCTTGGGAGGGAAGGAAGGAGGGAAAGAGCATCCAGATGTTTATTTGCTTGGAAAACAGCCAGGCTGGGGACCAAAACTTGGGGGTAGGGGGTGCAGATCCCTTGGAAGATGGGCTGGGCATGGAGGGATCCTGGTGACAGATGGATCCTGGTGTTGGAATTGTGCTGGTGCTGGAGGGATCCTGGTGTTGGAATTTTCCCGGTAAGGGAGGGGTCCTGGTGACTAAGGGGTCCTAGAGACAGAGGGATCCTGGGTTTGGAGAGATCCTGGTGCTGCAGGGTTCCTGGTGCTGAAGGATTCCTGGTGTTGGAGGGGTCCTGGTGCTGGAGGGGTCCTGTCAGAGGAGCGTGCAGGATCTGGTGTGAGCTGCAGGAATGTTTGTGCGCCGAGCTGGAAGGGCACAAGCACCAGCTGTGGGAGGCAAGCCAAGGAGAAACTGCAGCTTGAACTCTCCATCTGGTAACACATTCTTAAAGGGTTTGCTGGAGACGTGAAAAAGGAGCAGAAAATAACCCTGGGGAGCCCGAGGCAGACGCTCCACAGCAGGACAGACTCCCACCCAAGCCACGACCTGGAGCTCTGGGCTCACAACGAGCTGTGTTTGCTGCAGGCAGGGCAATCTCTGCATCCTGGGGGGTAGCCAAGAGAAATCCACTTTTTTCTTTTATTATTATTATTATTTTTTCCCCAGAAGTCACCTGGTCAAAGCCATCCTTTTTGCCCTCCCACGGGCAGGATTTTCTTCCAGCTCCTCCTGGGCAGTCGGATGACACGGACTGGATGCTCCCAGCCCGTTCCAGCTCACCCCTCCCCGAGCCTTCCTCTAGCTCAAAATTATCTGGGGCTGCCCCAAAACGCCCCATTTTCCAGAATGTTATTCTGAGGACAAAGCACAGGCAGCTTTGGGCAGCTCCAGGTGGGCACAGGGAAGCTCGTGTTGTTTTGGGAGAAAATGCTGACCGTGTTCTGTTCCTATTTTTGCACATCAGCAGAGCCTCCCGAGTTCAGGGTTTGCAGCCCTGGCGAGTCCTTGGTGAGGACCTTCAGATTTAGCTTTGGGCCAAAAAAAAAAACAACCCAAAAAGAAACCAAACAAAAAAAAAACCCAGGGAAGTTGGTGCAACCCAAAGTGTATTTCTTGAATGTAACTTTATTTTTGCACGAGGATTCGTGGTGGTGACCACGTGATGGACTTTAATACTTGGGATTAATCACTGCTCTGCAGTTTATTACAAGGTGTGGGTCGAGTTCGACCCTTGTTTTATGCCAGTGTGAACCCAGAGAGACAATCTGACACTGAGGTGTCTGCAGAAATACTAATTAAACAGAAATGAGCTTGGACTGGACCCCAACACTCAGATTTCTCCTGTTTCTCCAGATTTTTCCTATGCAAAACCACCACCAACCAACCAGCACAAGCAGGCAAAGGCAGGCTCACAGCAGGTCCTGAGTCAACAAAGCCCTGCCTAAATCTAAGTGTTTGCTTTGGGATTTTGCTCCAGCCAATAAATTTTCCTGATTCCACCCGAAATAAACCCGTATCGATCCCTGACAAAGAGGGAAAGGCACAGAACCATCCTTGCAACATCCCCCTAATGCTGCCTAACAGGGATCAGAGCATTAAACCTCTTGGTGTTGTCCTTTTTTTTTTTTTTCCCACTGCCTGGATTTCATCAGGAAGGGACCTGTTCCTCAGGAGTTTCCCGGCCCCAGGAGCCATAGAAAAACAGTACTGTACGTTTGGGAAAATAAATGTGGCATTTGTAAATAAACACACACACGTCTCTACGCACAGAGCAGAGCACTTCCCGTGGGAATTCCTATGCTAGAGGAATATATGAGTTAAACAAATAAATAAAGAATGTTTATAAGGATATTTAGAGTGTGGATTTTCGAGCCATTTGGAGATCAGGGTTTTTGCTACAGGACAAGCTTCCTCCTTTCCTCAACTGGTTCTTCAAAACACCCCAAAATACACCTTCCAGAGGCCTGTATTCCCGGTGTTTGGAAGTGGGTTTGATGTGGGGAGGGCACAGTGGCATTAAGGCATAAATCAGCCCCACAACGATGCCCTTCAGTCCCGGGGCAGCAGGAAGACTCCCAGCTGAGGGCTTTTGAAGTCAGATGGAAAAAACCCACATTTATTTGAGTAATTATTGGGCTTGTTAAGGAGCCTCGCTGGCCGGGGTTCAGCCCGAGGGGAGGGAGCACCCGAGGGGAGGGAGCATCGTTTTCCTGGAGGATTTTCCTACAACACCCATCGTCTCCCGGGATATTCCCCCTTCCCGCAGCCCTGCAGCAGGATTTGGCCCGGGGGGGAATCTCCCTGAGCTGCTGGGGGGAACAGGGGAGGGACGCCGGGAGCATCCGTGTCCTCGGGGAAGGGATCAGGAAAACTCTGGAGCGGAGGCGATGGAGATGGATCCCTTTTGGCTCTTCCCGGGTATCCCGGAGCTGCGAATCCCCCCGAGCCCGGCGGCCGCTGCTGTGACAAGGCTGTAAATTAGAGATGAGCATCGCGGCTGTGCTTTGAGACTCGCCTATTGATCCGTCTCCTCCTGCTTGGTATTCCAGGGGGTTTGTCCGGCTCCATCTGCACTCGGAGCCGGCGCTTTTCCCATCCCAACTGTCCGAGCACGCCGGGAAGCAGCTGGAATAAACCGGATTTACGAGACCCCTCCGGGGTGGGTTTTATTCTGTGCAGAAGGGTTTGGTGGGATTGTGGTGGGAGACAAGGAGAGATGGAGTTCCCTAATCCTGTTCCCACCAATCCAGCTGTGTGCAGCTGGAGAGTCCTGCTGCAAATCCACTCATTTACACACGCACAGAGACGGTGCAAAGCAGAAGCTGCTGTGAAATCGAGTGCTGGCATCTCGGGTAAAATTTACTAAGTATAAAAATAACATATAATATAAATATAAAAATTCTACAAAATATATACATTATATATGAATTAGAAATAGATATAAGAATACATATATAAAATATTTATAGATATATGTATTTTCTATCCAGGGTGACCATGGTTATAAACAAGGTGACACTCATAGGGGCAGTCAAAGTGAACTTTCATGGAATCATGGGAGAGTTTGGGTTGGAAGGGACCTTCCAGACACCCCCCTTGCCATGGGCAGGGACACCTTCCACTAGCCCAGGTGGCTCCAAGCTCTGTCCAGCCTGGCCTTGGACACTTCCAGGGATCCAGGGGCAGCCACAGCTTCTCTGGGCAACCTGTGCCAGGGCCTCCCCACCCTCCACAAAGAATTTCTTCCATATATTGAACCTAAACTTCCCCTCTGTCAGTTTGAAGCCATTCCCCCTTGTCCTGCCCTTCCATGCCATGTTAGAAGTCCCTCTCCAGGTTGCTTGCAGGCCCCTTCTCTGCCAGAAGCACATCGAAATAAGCAGCAAAAGAACGGCTGAGAACGGCCCAACTCATCGCACGCCACGGGCCGCTCTCCCTGCGCGGGCCCTTTAAAAGAGGCGTGGCCGGGGCCGGGACAAACCAGAGCGGGGCGGGGGGGGGGATCGCTCCTCCCCGCCACCGGAGCGCGCAGGTGGGCGCCCCCAGGCGGCGCCGGGACACCCCTCCCGGGGGGCAGTGGTACAGCCCAGGCGCGGGGTGGGGCGTGGCCAGCGGGGCGGGCGGATTGGAAACCGTTGAGGCGGCAGGGGGGGGGGGACGAGGAGGCGGCTGCGGCTCCAACGGGCCGGGCCGGGGAGTCCCGGGAGATGGAGATTCCCGGGAGCGGGAGGTTCCCGCTGAGGGGGGAGCCCCGCGCGGGTCGATCCCGGCGGCGGTTTGCGGGAATGGGCGGCGCGCAGGCTCTTGCAGGAAGGGCGGAGGTGGCGCTGCCGGGACCTCGTGGCGCAACGGTAGCGCGTCTGACTCCAGATCAGAAGGCTGCGTGTTCGAATCACGTCGGGGTCACGGCGGCCCTGGGGGGCTCCCTTTTTCACCGCGCGCGGCAGATTTTGGGGTGGCACAGGGGGGTCGGGTGATGGGGACGCGCTGGGAACTGGGGGGAACCCCTGCTCCCTCCTGCGCTCTAATTTTTGCCCCCAGGGCGCCGCATCGTCCAGGGGATCGGGGTTGGATTGAAAGAGTGGGTTTGGGTTGGATATTTGGGGAGAAATTATTCCCTGTCAGGGCGCTGGGATGGAATTCCCAGAGAAGCTGTGGCTGCCCCATCCCTGGAATGGTTGGGGTTGGAAGGGACCTCAAAGCTCATCCAGTTCCACCCCTTCCGTGGACAGGGACACCTTCCACCAGCCCAGGTGGCTCCAAGCCCCGTCCAACCTGGCCTTGGACACTTCCAGGGATCCAGGGGCATCTACAGCTTCTCTGGGCAACCCGTGCCAGGGCCTCCCCACCCTCACAGGGAGGAATTTCATCCCAATATCCCACCTAACCCTGCCCTCTGGCAGCGTGAGACCATTCCCCCTTGTCCTGGCACTCCAGACCCCTATAAACAGTCTCACTCCAACCCCCTATAAACAATCTCTCTCCGTCTTTTCTGTTGGCTCCTTCAGGCACTGGAAGGGCACAGTTAAGACACCCTGAAGCTTCTCTTCTCCAGGCTGAACAATCCCAACTCTCCCAGCCTTTTATCCCTCTGATCATCCCGGTGCCTCCTCTGGACTGGCTCCAGCAGCTCCGTGTCCTCCCCGTGCTGGGACCCCCCAGCTGGAGGCATCACAATCCCCCCATTCCCAGCCTTTCCAGCCCCAGAAGCGCCTCCTCGCTTTTCCTCAGCCCCGCACTCTGTTATTTTAACCTCTTTTACACTTGGAAGGAACAATAAAGGCGAAGTCTGAGCTGCTGGAGGGATAAAGCTCCTAAGTGGTCATTAAGTGGAGCTGCTTTGAGCTGTTGAGCAGGTGATGGGTTGTGCACACCTGAGCTCCTCGAGTCTTCATCTCTTCCCATCAACTGGCTTTTGTCTTGACTGGCTTTGCCTTTGAACTTCATTGCTCTATAATAGCAGGAAGGAACGATGCTTTGAGCTTCTGTTGCCACAAAGGTTCTGGTGAAAAATAGCACCGGGCTGAAAAAAGAAACCAGAAATTGAGTCTTTATTGCCCTGCGCTGCTTTCAGTGATAACGATTTTAATTAAGGAAAAAGGGGTGGGTAAAAGAAAATAACCTCCTGTCTGGAAGTATCCACAGTGGTGTGAAATGTGTAATAATAAAGCTGTTTGTGAGGTGACAGCAGGAAATGTTTAAACCTCACTCTAGAAGCTTGAATAAATAAATAAATATATATATTTATATATGTTTATATTTGATGGTGTTTCTAGGTAGTGACTATGTCATTAAGCTTGGTAAGATATTCACACCAGGCACGTGGTGGGATTTTGGGGTTGTCCTGTGCAGGGCCAGGAGTTGGATTTGATGGTCCTTAGAGGTCCCTTCCCACTCAGAATATTCCATGATTTTCTTTTGTGGAAAGGTGACACAGTGGGACAGAAGTCAAATGTACTGTGTATTGTGACTTTTTATTTTTCTTTAGTCTCCCCGGAGCGAAATTAAATGTAATATGGATTAATATGAAGGTTGGGCTTGATGATCTTAGAGTTCTTTTCCGACCTTAATGATTCTATGAATGGAAAAAAAGCAATATTAAAGGTAAATATTAAAAACCAGAAAGTAATATTAAAGGTGGATTATGGTGGGATCTCCTGGATCCACGTGGGCTGTTCCCACTGTGATCTGTGGGGGGCAGTGCCCATCTTCCTTCCTCCCACATTCTGTGGGCTGATAAATAGAGGTCCCTGGAGCAGAACTTCACCTCTGGGATGTGGGATCACCTTCCAGCCTCTCCTGGGCTGCTCCTGAGGCTTCCTTGGGACGCTGAGAAATCCAGGGGGAAAATGGCCACTCCCTAATGAAGGGAGTGCTGATGGCAAAGGGGCTCTGTTTATATAAAAACCTCGTTTTCTAAAGCAATTTAGAGTGTTTGCTGATGCTGCTGCTCTGAACCTGTGCCTGGTGTCCTGCGAAGAAATAAACCCAGAGAATATCTGGATATCACCATTTTATCCCGTCCCACTTTGCTTTACTTTCCAGCACAGAGTAAGGAAAGAGGGAGAAAAAAAAAAGCCCCCCCAAAAAAAGACATGAAAGAGCAGATCTGACCCTCTGCCCTGCTCGGGGGAAGCAAATGAGCTGCGAATTTGGGCAGCTTTGCTCCTCGGAACACCCGGGCTGTGTGAGCTGGGCAGGGTTTTATTTCCCCCCCTGCCCCCTCCTGGAGGTGGCAAATGTTCTAATCAAAAGCAGGTCACCAGAGAGCGAGGCACGAAGGAAGGAGCAGCTGTTGCATCCAGTCAGGCACAATATTCCTGTGCCAGAAATGATTCATTTGGGCTGTGTAATATATATGGAAATGTGCTGCAGGAGCATGGCTGGGAATAACCCATTGTGTTCACCCGGCCCTGACAGAGCTGAGCTGGGCTTGGGGTTCCTGACGTGCCTTTTCCTGGCTTGGATGTGTCAAACAAACACCAGCACCCCACCTTTGGGTCACTGGGCTGCACTTAATCTCTCTCTCTATTTGCTTCTTTTAGGCTGACATGGCTGAAAACACCACTGAAAACACCACTGAAAACATGCACTAAATGAAGGCTCTGGCAGGGAGCTGGATGGAGGGGGAATAAAATCCTGCAGCAGGAGCGCTCTGGATGGGCAGATAAAAAGGGGAAGAATAAAGGGAATGGAGTAGGTGGACCGTTGCAGAGGTCTTGGGGTATTCTGAAAAACATCTGAGCTGAAAGGGATTTCGGCTCTTTTTTACTCGAGTAGAACATTCCGTGTTTTAATCTCCCAAAGCCTTTTTTTGGGGGAGTTCCTCAGCACCGATTTGCCCCCACCTT